AAAAATAATAAAAATATTATATTACCGTTACAAATTTCATATTTAATATTAGATTTTAAAATGTGATCGCTTTTAAAATTAAATAAATTAATTAGTCAATATGTATATAATTATAAATTTTAAAAAAGATAAAAAAAATATTATATAACCATTACAAATTGACTATTTAATATCATAGATAAAAATTAAATAAATTAATTAGTCAAAAAAATAATAAAGATTTGAGGTGGTAAGTATAACAAGGAATTAAAATGAATTATTATTGAACTGATACTAATTGAACTATACCCAAAACTCAAAACATTTGGTAAAATGACAAAAAATTTACATTTTCCAATAGTAAAAACTGAAAACTAATAGCTATACATAAAAACTAAAAACCCAACCAATAAGGGTAAAATGGTCAAAGTATTGAAAAACTCTCCCACCAGCAACCTTGAAATCCTAAAGCACCCGGTCTTAAAAAAAACGGATGAAACGTTTAAGCATATGGCACCAAAACATCCCCACACCATAAAACCAAACAGGGGTAAAATGGTCAAAGTAGTTGAAAGACTACCACACCAAACCACACCCCACCCCACCCCACCCACTGTGTATCTTTAAACTTGGATCCAATTGCAGCTGAAAACCACTAATGATTACCTTTAAGATATGATTAAACAGGGGTAAAATGGTGAAAGTGATTTTCACACATTAAAAAGAGTCACACTCTCCGATGAAGATTCTTAATTCTATGTAATTAAAAGTTAGCATTTTTGTTCAATGGATTCTCCTTTTATCAAGTTCTATGTTTTCCAAACATTATATGATTCAAAACTCCTTGCAAATAAATATATCTATGCTATAGCAAAATCCAGATCAAAATTTACAATATAAATCTAAACTCATGTTGATTTCTTAAACTTGATCTGTTGTATCAGAACTTGTATCTATTTCCTCCCTTAAATCATATTCAACCACAAGATTCAGATTGTCAACAAGTTTGTGATACTGCAAACACCCTGTGCACTGAAAACAAATAATCCATACATCATAATTTTTTAAAAAAAATAAAAAACATTTTTCATTGAATTTGTGATATTGAGAAAATGAAACAGAAAATATACCTGTACAAAAACTGTCCCTTTTTCATAAGCTAATCTGTTTATGAGCTTTTTTGATCTTTCACCACAAGAATTGCAGGTAAAATGTAATAACAAGCTTCTTCTTGGGAGTTTGAGGTCTATTGTTGCTCCCTTCAAGTTTCCATGTTCAAAGAAACAACAATTTAAGTTCAAGAACTAACAAGAAATCATGAATTAAGAAAGATATTTGTGAAATGTTTTATCGTTTTTAACTGTAGGCGTTCCATTATCTTGAAATTGTATCCTTTTGGCTTAAACAGAAGTAGTAAAGTAACAAATCCTTTTGTTTGATTCTAAACACAAACCCCTATTATCAATCATACAAAACCAAATCTAACTCTCAATTTAGTAGCAACTAAAATGCTAATTATTTGCAGTCAATTCCAGGGTTACTTTAATGCCAAATTCATCAATAATTTTCACCAAGAACGAAATGTCACTGTGAATGATTATAACAAGACAACAGATTAAAAAGAGATGTACATACGGGATTTGATTCATGAGAGCCAGAAGATCCTTCCAATTCTTGACACGCTTCAGGATTATCTTCAACCAAACAAGAAATCACAACAGGGGAAACCTGTCTTGATTCCTTTCTTTTTGAATAAGAAATCCCCAATCTGTTAACCGTAATGAATTGAGTAATCAAAGGCAGAAAGACTTACTTGAGCGCTTGTTAATAATTTTAGTAATAATATGAAAACTAGATTTGAAACCGAAGACATGCCTGGGAAATTTGAGGGTTAAGTTAGGTTGAATGAAATTAGAGCAATGAAGAATAGCGGGTCTTTGTCTTTGAGCTTTAAGCGTTGTAACTAATGAAGACAGAGAAAAGAGGGAAGAAGCCATGGAGCCCTGCATCTGCGTTTTTTAGGAGCGGAGTAGCTGTGAACAAAAAATTTCATCAGTTTGATCAATTTTTCATCCATATTTCATCAATTTCACTAATTTCTAATCAATAATTCATCAATTTCACAAATCTATACCTGTTAACCCAATACCTCATCAATTTTCATCAACACAGTACAATCCATACACTCTCAAATATATGATAATCTATATTTCAGAACATCATAGGTATCATAATCAAAGGAACAAATCAGATACAGTGGAAGGAAAACCAAAGGAAAATCGACAGGTATGATAATTGAAGGAACAAATCAAATACAGTGGAACAAATGACAGAGGCGTTTTCTTTGCTGATGAGAAACGAAAATCGACACAAA